AGGCTGTAAATCCTTACGGAGACAGACAGCCTCATCTTTCTCCCATGGAGCTATTGGTGGGTTTGAACCATGGGCCTTGCAGTTTGCAGTCAAGTGCTCATCCTACTAGAGTTTCCTAAATGCATATGGCCTTAGAAACTGTGGCTTGAGGAAACAAACCTTGAGGGGAGTCCCAGAGCCAGGAGTCCGGGGCTACACACTGGGGACTCCAGACAAAGCCTCACCTTGTCCAAGAGAGTAACTGGGCCAAGTTGCCTCCTCTAGTCTGTAGGGATAATGATAGCGCCTTGATGTGAAGAACAAATGATTTCAGACATTGAATCAAATTGTTGAGATGCCACTGAGTCGATTCCGACTCACAGTGACCCCAGGTGTGTCAGAACAGGACTGTATTCTATAAGGTTTCCAATAGCTGACTTTCCAAAAGGTCTCTGGGAAGACTTGAGCCTCCGACCTTTCCATTGTTAATGGCGGGTACCACCCAGGGATTCCGAATGAATAGACAAAAAGTCCTTCCAAGCCTGTTGGACACAGAGTGGCACAATAAATAGCTCCAGTTACTAGTAGTATTTCCACATGGATACAAAAAGGAGGGAGTCCTGGTGTGGCACTGTGGGTTAATGCACTGGACTGCAAGGTCGGTTTGAACCACAAGGTCGGCAGTTCAAGCTCACCAACTGCTCCTTGGAAACCTTATACAGGGTCGCCATGACTCGGAACCCACTCAACAGCACTTAACAACAACACCACTAAGGAGGCCCCCAGAAGAGAGTGTTGGGTGTGTCTGGCCCTGGTGTGTGGGGGCTGCCAGAACAGCTGTTCGCCTGGTGTTTCTGCACCTGACCAGAATTCCCCGTGTGTCCTCACCCAGATACTCCTTGGAGGAATTACTCAGCCATTCTCTTTCTCCAGCACTGACTCCTGAGAATCTGAAGTGCCTGACTCTGAGAACATTTATATTTTGTCAGAAAAGAAATCAAAAGGTCTCATGAATCAAAGCATTTTGTAAGACAAGCGTACCGCGTAATTCACGGGGATGGGCTGATGGTGGCCACATGGTCCCTGCAGTCCTGCAGTGGACTGAGAACAATAGGGAGGGTGGCTGTCCGAGGGCCGCCTGCCAAGACCCAGCAGCTATCCACTGTGCGCCTTCCAACTCGGGCCCTCCCCTGCAGCCTCTGCTCTTGGACTGGTAAGGGTTCGGTTCTGTCTCAGACCGACTCAGACAATACAGCCCACACTCTGGGCCAGCTCTGCTGCCTGTTGGCTGCAGATCTGGGGCAAGCCCTCTAGCTGCCCGGGGCCTTAGGTTCTAGAAGGCTCCAGGCCCTCAGGGATGACTGAAAGGCACCACAGGGAAGAGTAAGGAGGCCAGCACTTTGTCATGTGGTGGAAGGGGGACTGTGAGTTTGGTGTAGGCCTTTTGGGAGGCAATCGGACAAAGTGTGGGTCAACAGTTGTAATGACCAGGTCCATGCCTCTGCCCCAGGGCTCATCATGTGGAGCTACTACCCCCTCAGGAAACAATCCAGGTGTGGCTGGAAAGGGACACCTGCTACTTACTGAAGAACCCCAGATGGCATTGTGGTTAAAGCATTCAGCCACAAACCAAAAGGTCAGCGGTTCGAGCCCACCAGCTGCTCCATGGAAGAATGAGCTGGTAGTCTATTTCAGTAGAGATGACACCCTTGGAAACCCTGTGGGGCTCTACCCTGTCTTAGGGGTTCTCTATGAGGTGGAATTGACTTGGCAGCAGACGAGTTTGATTTCTTACTCAGGAATCCCTGATTAGGATAGGTAAAGCACTCAGCTGCTAACTAAAAGGTTGGAGGTTCGAATTCACCCAGAGGAACCTTGGAAGAAAAGCCTGGGGATTTTCTTCCAAACAATCAGCCATTGGAAACCCGGTGGGGCAGAGTTCCACTCTGACACATATGGAGTCACCATGAGCTGGGATCAGCGGCACTACCAGTCCAGAGTCTTACCAGATGCCTCCCTACACTCACTCTTTTAATCTGGGGTAGCGCTGCGGGTTAATGGGCTGGACTACAAGGCTGGTTTGAAGTGCAAGGTCGGCGGTTCCAGCTCACCAGTAGCTCCTTGGAAGCCCTATACAGGGTTGCTATGAGTTGGAACAGACTGGATGACACTTAACAACCACCACCACCCAAGAGGCAGAGCCTCTACCATCCCTGCTTGAGACATGAGGAGCCTGAGGCCCAGAGAGGGTAAACAGCAGTTCCAGGTCACACAGCACAACGTGGAGCTGAAATCTGAAGCCACGCTGCCTGGCTCAAAAGTCTTCACTCCTAATTACACTAGACTGCCCCTTTGTCCAAAACAAAGTAACACAGGCTTATTTCAAAGTCAAATGTCTTCAGAAACAAATGACCTCATTTGAAAAAAATATGTATTTTTTTTCAGCATATGTAAAAACTGAGACAGACATAGCAAGTCAACTTCCCCCAACTTCCCCTTTTACAGGTGGGAAACTGAGGCCCCGGGAGGAAGAGGTGTGTCCAGCCATCCCTCATTTCCAGCGTGTCTACATGGACGGTCCATATAGTGACTGTAATGTTAGTGACTGACTAACATTCTTGGCATTTCATAAGAGCACAGGGTGTGCACGATGGTACTTCACAACAACAAAAGAAAGGTTGATTACATATCATAAACTAAAAATCAACCTGTTTCTTCTTCAGGCGGAAAGGCGGAAACACCTGCAACAGGTGGGACCATCTTGGGAGATTCGTTATATAACATTCAGTCCCCATATACAGACGGGTAAACTGATACTCAGGCACAATTTAGTGACTGTTCCAGAACACCATTATTCAAGCATAACTGACTCTCTGTCACCTCAATGGCTGCATTTGCGGTTGTGCATAAATGTGAGGCGCCCTGGTGTCTTAGCCGCGTTAGAGAATCCTGGTGTGGCACTGTAGGATAAGCACTGGACCACAAAGTCAGTTTGAACCGTAAGGCTGGCAGTTCAAACTCACCAACCACTCTTTGGAAACCCTATACAGGGTTGGTATGTGTTAGAACCGACTCAATGGCACTTAACAACAGTATAAATGTGAGGCCTCATTCATTAAGCGTCAGGCAACTATCATTTGTTTATGTGAAGGTGGTAAATATAAAGATAAGGGTCAACAACACCCAGTACTTCACCTGAACTGGGCAAGATGGGTTTTTTCATTTACCCAGCATTCCTTTCTTTTAGCAGATGGAATCATGCCAGTCCTGAGTGTGCATGTGACCCAAGCTGGGCCAATGGGGTCCTATGAAGGGGCTGATAACCACTGAGGTGAGGGAAGGGGGGGGTCTCTTCCTCTGGGATCATGACCCAGAAGGACGTTCACAGATTTCACCATTTCTCCCACCATGCAGAGCCCGCCTGAAGCCAAACCCTGAGAAAGTCAGAACTGAGGGATGAGTTGGACATACGGCTTGAGCCTGGATCCAACCACACCTGAAACTAGCCAATCCTGTATGTCCAAGTTCCGAGAAGCAAGCAAATTCTCCTTTCTGTTTCAAATTGTTTGTGCCTGCAAACAAATGAATTATATATAACTAGTACTCCCACCACAGGGTCCTACCAAAGAATCCTATGTCCCGACTCTTCCTAAATCACTGGTCCATTAACCCCAACTGAACAGATTCTAGATTTCCAAGAAGCCACACATTTAAATAGTAGGCATTCTCTCTGCCATTCCTGGTCCCTGTGGCCACACCCAGCCGCTGGCCAGTAGGGACACAGGGACTAAGTTAGATGGGGCGGAGGAGGGACTGAGCAGGAAAGCCTTGATCATGGGACATGAATTCTTTTGCATTTTCCATTCTGTTGGCCCACAAGAGACCCTGAGCGCTGGGAAGTCATTAAGCCACTAAAACCCAAAGTGGTCCAGAAGAAAGCAGCCCAGCGACAAGTGAAGGGTTGCAGGGTGTTCATGCCAGGCAGGCACAGATGACACTAATAAAGACATAAGGGAGGTGACAATTACTGAACATCTATGTCCCAGGCTCAGAGCGGGCCCTTTCATAAGATGATCAGAATGGTTATCACACATGATAAAGCTCAAACCCCACTTCCTGAGAATGCAATCTAAAGAAACAGCTCATTAGAAGAGAGAAGGGAGCTTGAGATGTGGATTGGAAGATTATCTGGAAATGTACAAACTGTAAGTGACTTAACAGACAACACCAGGGAACATCTAGAATATTCCAGTATGGTTGTGAAATAGGACACTCTGCTACCAGAATAAAAAAAAACAAAAAATGTTAATTACAAGACACAGAATTGATGAAATGATATTAACCTAGAAACAAAGCCAACAGGAGCAGGATTTTCAGGGGCCGCCGCAATGTGCAAGGAAGGGAGGGCATGCAGGAATCGGAGGCGAGGTGAAGACTGAGACCATTCCTCTGAGAGAGATGACTTTGTTTTCTTTCTTACCATTATTACTTTTAAATAAAACGTTCATTTTGGAATAGTTGTAAGAGGCAGCTCAGAGAGTCCCTGTATTCCTCTCATCTGGGTAGCCCTTATTTATTGTCAACAGCTTAGAGGACTGTGATGCGTTTGTCAAAACTCAGCAGCCAACACTGGTCCCTCACTATTAACTAAGCTCTAGAAGAGAGTTCTGGCAGCGTAGTGGTTACCAATCAGGCTGCTAACCTCAAGGTCAGCAGTTTGAAACTACCAGCTGTTCTGCAAGGAAAAGATGAGGCTTTCTGCTCCCGTAAAGATTTATAGCCTCGGAAACCCTGTGCAGGATCGCTATGAGTCAGAACAAACTCCACAGCACATGACAACAAGACTAGATCCAGACTAACTCAGTTTTCCTACTCATACCTTGTCCTGTCAGTAACATTTCACCAGGGGTTCCAACCACCACTTGGGGGTCCAGAGATGCAAGACAGCTCATTCAAAGTTGTTCCTTCAATCACTGACCCAGAACCCACCCCAGGACCCGAAGAGAACCCTAGGAAATTACCTGGACCACCTCCTTCACCAGGGTCTTGTCCGTGCCAGTCTTGGCTCTCTGCAGTCCACTGACATTCTCGCCGATCCACGTAATGAGGGCAAACTTAGACCTCTTGCTCATGGCGTCCCCAGTGGTGAAGCGCACGAAGGCGAACAACCGCACGTCATCTGGGGCCGACAGAGAAAAGAACATGCAAGGCTCGTTAAACACCACAGACCATTTCCCTGAGGTAGAGACTGTAGCCACGAGGGTGCCCGACCCTAACCCCAACATTGACCTTTGTCTACAATAGCTCAGGCTTCCAAGCCCATGTCCCAGGTGGGAAACTGAGAGGTACACAGGCAGTTGGAGGCTGTGCCAGGATGATCCCAAGTCTTGGTGGCTGCCTACAATGTCCCCTCCCTTCCGATGGTTAAGTGTCAGGTCTTTGATACTATTTGCTGTTAAAATGCCGTTGAGTCAGTTCCGACCCATAGCTACCCTGTATAGGGTTTCCGAGGAGCAGCTGGTGAGCTTGAACCGCCGACTTTCCAGTTCAAACGGCTTTGCAGTCTGGCGCGTTAACCCACAGTGCCACCCCAGGACTCCTGGATCTTATTTAGGGAACAGGAAGTCATTGATTTACTCTGCTTATTCTTAATATTTAGGCCCTGTTTTGAATGGGAAAGTGGCAGCAGCCAACCATGGGGAGACAGGGACCAAGCTGGGGAGGGGCAGGGAACGGCGAACTAGCAGAAGAAAGTGTCCCTGATTTGGGCGCAGGGCCTGTTGTAAGGGTTTGTAGTTGCTGAGTTGAGAAGCCTGGATTTCCCCAGCGATACACCGGTGAGTCTGTGGAGTGTATATCAAAGCCCCCTTGGGGTCTGGCAAAGGAGTCCATGTGGTACGGTGGATGCCGTCTGTTTCCATGACAACCTTGGAAACTCTATGGTGCTGGTTCCACGCTGACCTACAAGGTGGCTCTGAGCAGGAATAAACTTGATAGTAGTTGGGTTTGAGGCAGGGGTTGGGAGTGCGGGAATCTTGCTAAACACAGATTGTGAGTCATGGGTCTGGAGTGGGGCCCAGGGTCTACACGCCTAAATAAGCCCCCAGCTGCTGGTTTATAAAACACACTTGGGGTTAAGAAAACCAATCCAGACGCCTTCCTTCCTAGAATCCCTCCAGGCCCATTCCCAGGTGGAATATAGTGTTACCCCAGGACAAAAGACCACAAACCCTCTGAGGCCAGAGATGACAAAGTTCACTTCCTGGCTATTATCCGCAATCAGCACACCTGCATAACAAGCCCCGCCCTCCAAACCAGTCAGGACCAGATGTCCGGGCAGTGGGAGCCAAGACGCACCCAGCTCTCAGCTCAGCGGGCAGACCCTGGGACAGGATGTGTGGCTGATACTCCTCCAGCCCTGAGTCAGGCAGCCCTGAAACATTTATTTCTTAAAGAGAACACAGCCTCATGCGTACTGGCAACCCACTTAACAGTCTTGTAAAACTCTTGAAGATATCTGATTTTTAAAAAAGCTATTATAAATTGAGTGAAGGTTTACAGAGCAGATCATCAGTTTTATATTCAACAAATCATACACTCTGGTTCAGCTTAGTGATTGCAGCCCCCTCCATGGAACATCGCGCATCCCACTTCCCCCCCTGTGATTCCTGTTTCCCTTCTTCCTTCTTTCCCCACCCTGCTGAACTTTGTGCTTAGATAATGCTGCCCTTTTGATCTCAAATGGTTCTATGTTGTGCGTCCCTCACTTCTGGTGTGATAGCCCCTCACACCTATTATTGCTTGGCTGAAAACTGAGCCACGAGGATGTGTTTAGTTCCAGACCTGAAGGGTGACCCAGGTCCACAGCTAACCAGTAAGCCTGGGGTTTTGTTTGTTTTTTAGGGTGTTGAGTCCCACCCTATCCAGAACCTTCTACTGTAATGCCTTTCAGAGCAGTTGGTAGTAGTAGTTAGGCACCATCTAGTTCTGGTCTCAGGGTCGTGGAGACTGATGTCCATGGGTCCACTGCACTGGTTCCCCAAGTCTTCATTGTTCGTCATTCTTCTTTCCTCCTCAAGGCAGAGAAGACCCTCATGTATGTTTTTATTATCTCGTGGAGTCTTCAAAGTGAGGCACACAGGCAGGTGGGGGCGGGTGGAGGGGACATCATGGTCACCAACATCCAGATCACCATTTGACAGATCGGAGCCTCAGTCCAGGGAGGTCCCCTATGCATCCGAGGTAGCGTACTAATGACAAAACCAGGTGCAAGTCAAGGTCCTGAACATCCCAAGGGCGTCTGCCCAGCCCAACCCCCATGGAAGTCTGGTGAGTGCCCATCCTGGGGCCTAATCCTCAGGTTCAGTAGGAGACAAGGCAGTGGGGCAGGGAATAAAGGACATCTATCACTGGTGGACCCCACGGGGCTGGGAGACTGGACGTGGGCAGTAAGGGAAGAGGTGCCCGGAGACAGTGTCCAAGTAGGAGGACAGTCTGCTTGAAGTGCCAGCTTCCTCCCCGAGGGCTCTGACTCAACTGCCCCAACATCGGCGCCTAGGCTGCGTCACCTGTAAAATGGGTGATTTTGCACCTGCCTCATCAGCCAGCCATAAAGATGACAGAACCATGATGAATACTCCCATAGGAGTACCTCCCCAGAAGCTACCGCCACAATACAGGGCTCGCAAGTGGCCACCGAGGACTTGAATCATGGCTGGTGGGTCGAGGACCAGAACGTTTACATCCAAAGTTAAACAGCCTTGTGTGGTGGCGGGTGCAGACTCAGAACATGGGAAGAAGCCTACTGGTTCGGAAATGTGTCCTGGGCATCCGAGTTAGAAAAGCCAGCAGCGCTGTTTTGATAGCGTTTCCGAGGAAAAGGGAAGACTAGCATCAAAGTATTTCTTTAAACCTCCAGGTGCAACTGCAGGTAGCCTTGGCCAGAGGGGAGCTGTGGCCTCCAATCAAGATGCCCCTCACTCACAAATGTCGAGACACAAGCAACAGGACATGCTGGTGCCTGTTTCCATGGTAACCTCTCTGTTTCCAGTTCCCATGTTGGTTCTCTGTGCACACTTGGGTGCTGGTGTCTGCATGGGGACCCTATCACTAGTCACAGGACCCAGAGGAATATGTGCTGGCCTGGCTCGGGGTCACCTGTGTCCTGCAGACCCTGGTTCTGTGCTCAGCCAAGTCTTGAGCCTTCCTGTCAATGCAATGCCCTGGCCTTCTTGCCACCAACACCCCGTCCACAGCTCGAGGCCACTTCTCCACACAATGCTAGGCTTTCCCATGGTCTGCCCTTTCCACACTGCTGAGTGTCTCTACCAGGATGTCCTCTTTGTCCCTCCAACCCCATAAGCTCCTTCTGACCTTCACCAGCGCCTTCCTCTTGTGGAACAACCCAGACCTTCTCAGTTGAGCCAAGTGTCCCAAGGACAAGGTCCGGGACATAGCACAAGATAAATGTATAAAAAGCAAGTTACCCCACCCCACCCAAGGACACTGGGGACTTGTCCCACTAGAACCTTCAGGAACCTTCTAGATCCACCAGTCAATGTGATTTAAATGATCAGCAGAGCAGGAGGGCATGTTTTCCTGGGTTGCTGTTTGGTGTCAATCTGACAATGACCTGGCCAATAAGACTGCTGATGGGATGAATGTGTGTTTGAAAATCCAAGATTCACATTATGCTTACAAATGTTTGCATCTCAAGATTTGTCAGGACCCTGTGAAGTCAGCTGAGTCTGAGATGAAAAACCTGTTCATTCAAATAGTGTTTTCATAGGAAGATTTAAAGCCTCTCCCTCTCCCCACCCTCCTAACTAAGCACACCTGGCCTCAAACTGGTCCATCTAAAGGAATTTCAAATTCTTAGCACCTGCTGGCTCCCTTTCCTCTTCTGAAAAGAATGGGCAGAGTAAATGCAAACCTGAATGTATGAATGTGCAGCTAGTCCCACATCCATTCCCTGCTAAAACCACTCTGGGAACGCCCCCAGCGCTGTGCGGGAGGGCGATGTGGCTGTCTGCTTATTGGAGACCCTAGGCGGCAGTTCTGTGGTAGTCTATAGGGCTGCTAGGAGTGGGAGTTGACTGGACAGCAACAAGGGTTTTTGGTAAAAACCAGTTTAGTGCACAAGGAAACTGTGGGTACATCAACTGAACAACAACAACAACAACAAATGCCAAACCTACTGTTATCTAGTAGATTCTGGCTCCGAGCAACCCTGTAGGTAAACCACAACTGCCCCATGGGTATCACAGAGGCACACTGCCACAGCAGAGCTGCTGGGGAAGGGGATTCAAACCACCGACATTTCAGTTGGCAGCCAGGTGTTTTAATCAGTCAGCAACCGAGGGTATTGCTAGACCGCAACACATGTGCTACATCCATGTATGGGCATGTGTGTGCCACGAATGGAACATGAATGTGACCCCATTTGGAAACAGGGTCTCTGAGGATGTTATCAGTTAATCTGAGATCAAATCAGAATACAGTGGGTCCTGGTCCCATCTTAATGGTTTCCTAGAAACACAGAGACACAGAAAGAAAGACAACCGTGAGGAAATGCATCCACAAAGCCACGAGAGCACCTGGGCCCAGGAGAAACTAGAAGAGGCCAGAGGAAGATCTCCCCGAGAGCCTCTGGAGAGGGCCCAGCCCTGCTGACACCCTGAGCCGCCAAAACTGTGAGATAAGACATTTCTGTTCTTATAGGGTACCCACTTGTGGTGTTTTGTTATTGCAGCCTTGGTAACTAACACAAGGCGAGGGGTCAGGTACCCTGAGCTCAGTCCTTAGAGACTTCAGCATGGTTGGACCTGGCTGGCCTCTCCTTCAGCAGTTCGAGTTCAAGTTCCAAAGTCCATTGGAAACCTACCTGCCCCCCTGCACCTATTAGCTCTGTGACCTGGACCAGGTTGCTCTGTCTCCATAATTCTGTTTCCCCATCTACAAAATGGGTCAAATGCCTGCGTCATATGATGGCTGTGAGGGGTGAGTGATTAGAAGGGCTTGGTCACTGAAGATGAAGGCTGCTTTTCTATCCCCGTTTCTCCAGTGAAGCTGTCCAGCCCCTCAGGGGGTTCACAGTGGGTTCCTTAATTGCCAAACCCACGGGCAGCCTCTTCTCTGTGTGGATTCTTAATGCGAGCTCTTTGTCAGGTTATACATCAT